TTTTTAATTTTAACTAATCACTTTTTTTAACTCAACTTTAATTCAACTCCACTATTCTCAATATCATCAACATAATTAAATAATCTCACTCAATTATTTTTACGCATTACATCAACTTTAATTCACTATTCATTCATTTACATAATTTTAACTAATCATCCTTTCACATCATATCTCTCATACTTTTACATTAAATCAACTTTAATTAGATTATTTTAAATAGTATTTTAATATAAACTCAAAATTCTACTAACAACTAACCATACCACATTTTTCGAAAATAACCAAACCAAATAAAAAAATCCAAACAAAGTGAAAGCATCTTATATCCAAAGATCTTACTGAAATTGCATATGTTAGGTGGTGTGGCCATTGCTATTGCCAACCCTACCGATCTTGTCAAAGTAAGGCTTCAAGCGGAGGGGAAACTACCACCTGGCATGCCCAGGCGTTATTCCGGGGCACTAAGTGCTTACTCTACTATTGTGAGACAGGTCAATCTCAAAACCGAGTTTTTTTTCTTATGTGTCTTATTACTTGAAGTGAGTATGATTTGATCCATCTTGGTTTTTAATTTGCATCGGAAAATGTAGGAAGGAGTTGCAGCTTTGTGGACTGGATTAGGACCTAATATTGCACGAAATGCAATTATAAATGCTGCTGAACTAGCCAGTTATGATCAAGTGAAGCAGGTATATTAGCACCTCATGTGTTTTCTGGTTGCTTTTAATCTTTTTTGTGATCCACTGAACTTCTTTGTTTTCTTCTTGTGCTTCCGTTTTCCTTTTCTTTTTTCTTAATTCTTTCAGACGATCCTGAAAATCCCGGGTTTTTCAGACAATGTTTTCACCCATCTCTTAGCTGGTTTAGGAGCTGGTTTCTTTGCTGTCTGCATAGGCTCTCCGGTCGATGTGGTAAGTAACTTATTAAAACACCAATCTCTGAATGCACATTTTATTTGTAATTTTTTCATTTTTTCCATGGACTATAATAGAAAAGACGGAGCACAAGGAGAGTCACCCATGGGGGGCATGAATTTTTGTTTATTTTTTCTTTTATGCAACTTTGGGCAAGATTTGCGAATTAACTCGGTTTTGCTCTTTTGTGGCAGGTCAAATCGAGGATGATGGGGGATTCTGCATACAAAAGCACACTTGATTGTTTTGTCAAGACTTTGAAAAATGATGTAAGTTTAAGGATGAGTGTGCTTACTTTTCTTCTTTTTTTCTTATCTTGATGTTTTTTTGCCGCTCATTTGGCAGCTTAAGCGTTCGGAAATTCCACTTAAAATCTGGTAGCAGTTTATATAATATGTGCTGTTTGCAGGGACCTTTGGCATTCTACAAAGGGTTTATTCCCAACTTTGGGCGACTAGGTTCTTGGAACGTGATCATGTTTTTGACTTTGGAGCAGGTATTGATTGATCTTTTAGAACTATTTCGTTACGAGTGATCTATTAAAACCATTCTCCCCGGTTACGAGTATTCTCTCGTCCATTTTCTGCGGAATTCATTTTGACGAGATAGTTTATGCTTTGTTCAATTGCAGGCTAAAAAATTTGTCAAAAATTTAGAGTCTTCTTCGAGCTAAAGAAGAGGTTTGCAGGCTATAGCCTAGGTCTTATAAAGAGGAAGCAAAGTCTCATTCTTTCTTTTTTTTTTTTAAAAAAAAAAAAAATAATAATAATAAATAGAAACACTTCTATGTGAAAACTTTTTTTTTTTTTCTCAATTGTTGACAATAAATAGAAACAGATTATCTTTTTTCCTATGTGAAACCTCAAACAGTTAACTACACAATGCATTATCTTTTTTCATGTAAAACCTATTATCCTTTTTGAAACCTAAATCTCCTAATAAATAATAAAAATCTATATTCCTACTAAATTTTTCTAATTTTGAAAATTAATTTACTCCATCGATAAATAATTAGTTCAAATTGATATATCTATTTAAAATATTAAAAGTACTAAAATACTATACGTGTAACAATATCTAAAATGTTGTATATTTGCTTTTAAAAAATGTTTGAAATTACCTAAAATTTTCTAAAATATTTTTGAAAAATATGTTTAAAAACACCTAAACTAAATTGTTCTATGATAATAAACCAAAATATTTTATATACACCATGAAACAACTTTCATCAAAGTTATTTCAAGCACAGTGATTTTGTAAGATTATGTAATTCATATTCAAATTTAGATTATCTGATTTTGCAAGACTATAATGTAATTTATATTCAAATTAAATCATCAAATAAAAATATTTCAAGCACGCACGACCCTTGTTTGTGATTGTGAGTTTGTAAGACTATAATGTAATTTATATTCAAATTTAGATCATCAAATAAAAATATTTCAATCACACACGACCCTTGTTTGTGATTGTGAGTTTGTAAGACTAGGATATGATTCATATTCAATTCTTGTTTGTGATTGTGAGTTTGTAAGACTAGAATGTGATTCATGCTCAAATTTAGATCATCGAAAATAATATCTCAAACATACTTGTGATGTGATTTTGTAAAATTAAAACGTAATATGATGTGATATTTAGATCATCTAATAGAAATGTTCGAATACAACATATTTGAATTTTAAATTTTGTATAGTATAAAACAATAAAATTTTTAATTTTATTTAAAGTAATAAGTATTTTTTATATATATAATTTATTTGTCAACAGAAAAAACTATAATGGTTCAGAACGAGGCGTCAACGAATCACCTCGTCCTAAATTCACTTTTATCGGTCTATATAACAATAAATAAGACAAATCTATATTCCTACTAAATTTTTGTTATTCTGAAAATGAAAATTAAAATGATTTTAACTCTAAAAATTAATTTATTCTACTGATAAATAATTACGGTAAATTGATGCACTAAACAAGATAGTATTTATAATTAAAAATATGGGTAATATATAATACAATCTTACGGTAAAATATATATATGTAAAAATTTCTATTTAAAATATTAGAAGTACTAAAATATTATATATGTAAAAATATTTAAAATGTTGTATATTTGATTTTAAAAAATGTATGAAATCATCTTAAATTTTCAATTTTAAAAGTACTAACATATTACACCAAGTAAAAATATCTAAAATGTTGTTTATTTATTTTCAAAAAATGTATTTAATTATCTAAAAAAATTTAAAATATTCATGAAAAACATGTCTAAGAACAACTAAACTAAAATGTTCTAGTATAATTTATCAAAATATTTTTTATACATTACGAAATACAACTTTCATCAAAGTTGTTTTGTAGTGTGATTTTATTAAAGTGATTTTGTAAGACTAAAACATAATTCATATTCAAATTTAGATCAAATACACATAAAAATGTTTGGGTAAAAGACATATTCGTTTACAACTCCAATTTTGATCTGTTTTCACTCTATTCATCAAACTTCCATTCTCTTTATCCAGTCTTCCCAATTATGCAGAGACACCCAAAAACACAATTCAAAAATTACATTAACATATCATACTAAAAAATGGAAAAAGAAAATGGTAACGTCATTATCATCATAGCTTTCATGTATGTAATAAAGGATAATGCTCCTCTACGCACGGTGGGCACATGTTAATATGTCCACCGTTTATGTGACATGCACACATTGGTGATGTTGGAGCATTACCCATGTAATAAAATAAAGTCCGTACAATTTCTTTCACCACAAAAATAATAATCATACTAATAATAATAAAATGTGCAGTGTGTGCACAGAAGTCGGAACTCATTCCCTTTTCTCCTCCTCACCCTTCTCCCCTTCGTCCCCAGGCCGGGCCCCACCACCCGTCCCGCACTCCGCCAGGCTGGCAGCAATTGCCGCTTTCAAATCCTCGTCATCGTCGGAAACCGCCGCCATGCCACCGGATTTAGTCATCCTCTCGGCATCCTCCGGGAGCAGCCACTGGCCATAGCCGCCGGTCGTCTCGGAAGACGCGATAGGACAGTCGCTCGGGAAATCGCCTCTCACGAGAAAAATGCTCCACCCAGAGCTCTTGAGAGAGTCGAGATAGGCCGAGAGATAGAATCGAGAGAGGTGCTCGGGAGCCGGGTAAAGGCTATCGAAATTGTACCACTCGCCATTGACCTTGCGGATGCAAAACCAGTGGTCGTGCAGGTGGCATATGAAGGCGTTTTCCTTTTCAGGGTCGATTTGTGCCGGGCCGGCTGATGGGCTGTCCAGAGGGATCACTTGCAAGTTCCACACTTCTAGAGCTTTCTGAAGAACCTGCAAATGCTCGCAATTCGAAAATTCATAAGTTGTGCAAGTGCTCGAAATTCGAGACTTCGTTTCTATTCCTAGACTGAGACTTCGTTTCTATTCCTAGACTGAAACGAGGACAAATATGTTACTTCATTTGTGTGCTGTGCATATACAACTCTCAAGAATGCCAATTAATTCGGCTTCGGGATGAAGGGGGTGTAGGTTAGTAATCAAATCTGTTTTTATATGTTCATATGAATATTGGTTTTTGTGAATATTTCATCCAAAATACTCGTGTTCGGTTAAGTCAAACGAGTGATACTCAATCAGAAGCAGAATTAACAAGATAGAAATGGGATGTCAATCTCTTAAAGCAATTTGAGGAAAATTACACAACTGCAAAGCAGTTGACTCACGAGAACAGATGAAATTAATAACAATAAGAAGCTATAGATAGAACATGGGGAAAAAAAAAGGCCCTTCTTGGAAAGAATACCTTAAACTTAAAGCAACACATGAGAGGTCTTGCAGTGTTAAGAAAACGTGAGGAAATAAAATTAAAAAATTGTCAAATTCAACACAGCTTTATATTGGTGATCATTTATGCAACATGAAGTAAGAAGATGTCATTTAATATTATGACAAGACCTACGTGAACTTTCGAAAATGTATTCTTACAAATGTTAGCAAATGATCAATTTATGACAAGTAGAGATAGATAATATTTATTAACTAAGCAAGATTACACATGTAGATGAAATTGCAAGTAATCGAATATTCATCAGCAGACAACATATTGTTCACGAGTTTTTCCTAGATAATAATTGCTGTACTATGAAGTAAAAAGGATATCAACTAATATATTGAACTGGATTTACCTAAATAAGCGCACACGTATTCCCTTGGAAATGTAGCAAATCATTAATTTAGCACATTTTTCCCAAGTCGAGAATGTCAGGTTTGTTAATTAAACAAGATTACTCAGATTATTACTCAAGATGTTACTGTAATCAATAAATCTGCATTTTCTTCTGTAAGTGTTCTAGCAGGACATTGGTCGGAAAAAGCAAGCACTTCCGATCCTAAGTACCAAATGACACATAAAGTACATAATAAATAAATGACCATTGTGATTTTAATTAGAACAAAACCCAGGGAGTAAAAACTTCAAGGTGGTATTTCATATTTGGATTCTTTCTGCAACAAGGCCAGACCTTAAGAGTAACTTTTGTAATTAATTCTAAAAATACAATTAGACACGTGGCACTCACATGCCGGGAGAAAAATGCAAAAAAGGGAACTATAGTCCTAACCCTAAAGATGCATTGAAAGATTTTAATTACTAAGTACAACCTCCACATGTTTTTTAAAGATCTAATTATCAGTTCCTGTTCCATTTTACTTCATCTTCTGCAGAAACAATTACAATACTAATTCAATTCAATATCAGTAAATATGAGTACATACGATACAGGAGATAACTTGAACAAGCCCAGAAAACGAAATGCCACATTGTCATCAGCAAAACCGGCAAACCCATGCACGGTTCATTCATCAATGCATCACAGCAGGGTTTTTCACAGGCAGCTAGCATTATATGAATCCTAAAATCCTATAAGCATATCGAAAATGATAACACAATTCAACGTATCTTTCGAACATCGGTATTACCAAGACCTCACCAATGTAGCTATAGTAAGAATCACCCTACTAATCATACAAGCAAACCCCTGAAAAGCCTAAAAGGCTAAAACACATGTAAATTATGAACACCCATATAGCAAAGAGCTTCATTCATCAAGGAAGAAGGTGAAAATGACTAGATTGCAAATCGTACTCTTTGAATTGAATATATCTCAACTCAAATCTCATACTTTTCCACCAAACACGAAACAATCAAATTCCGGGGAAAAAAAAAAAACGTAACATCTAAAGATAACACACAATCCACAAAAGCATATATATGCAGAGACAGATTTTCAGTGAGAATCGAAGTCCTCCTACCTGAATGCTGAAGTCCCCATCGAGGGAGACGTTGTGCGAGACCTCCGGCAGGTAGTCTCCGGTGACGGAGCCGGCCATCATCTGTCGTTCCGTGCGGTCCAGATCGGAGGCCAGCGCCGCCAGATCGAACTCCGAGAAGAAAGGCCCCTGCAGGACCGTGTTCACGCAGTGGACCGCGCACAGCTTCGACTCTTGTACCTCGTGGTACAACATCCCGCCGTTGCTGGCCCCTCCTTGCTCCTCCGCAGAACCATCCATTTCAAGGTCTCTCTCTACAAAACCCTAGAAACCTCAAATGCTCCACCGGGGTTTTGGGTGGAAATCGGCGATTTATTCAGGGATCCTGAGCGGCGTCAGCGTACGGTTTCCGATCTGGTTTTTTCAACGGAAACCATTTGACACTTGGCAGCGAAAGCAAGATTGGTAAATTATCAGAGTGGCCCCTGTATTTTGCTATTATTCTGATCATAGCATGATAGAATGTTTAAATATCACTAATATCCTTGAACCTGTAAGATGCAAGATAACCTGATTACTTGACCCAATTATATCCAAACTTGACCTAGAGTAAGATTCAAGATAACCTGATTACTTGACCCAATTATATCCAAACTTGACCTAGAGTAAACAAAACGAGCTGATCGCGAGTTTGATTTGACTCATTTAATAAATTAATTGAATTTGAGATCATTGAAAGTTCATTTAGTTAACAGGACAATTAGGCTCAGCTAGTTAAAGCTCAAAAAAATAATATTTATATAATTTAATATAATTTAATTCGTTAAGTAAATATTTCTTATGAAATAATAAGAAATCATTACAAAATAATTGTCATATTCCAACGGAAAACCTTGTGGTAATATACTAGTGTTGATACTCGTGCGATGCACGGGTGCAATAAAAAAAAGTATTTTTTATTTAAATATTATAAAATTATTAAAACAATATAAAATTATATCATCCACAATATTCTATTCAGTATTAATATGAAATTTATTTATGTACTATTATTGTTAATTTCTATTTTTTTTTTTTTAGGTTTTGACCAAATTTCTCACTCAATCAGCTTTTTACCAAAATTAACTCAAAAAAATTTCCTATAAATCCAATCAAATAAAAAATAAAATTAAAAATATTCCCAACTACCATACTCTCAAATATTTTGTGAGGAAAATCGCGATTGACTTATTAGTCAGATTCGACGCGAAAATTCCGAGGGAGGCACATTTTAGACTATCACTGCCTCGCTTGTCCTAGTCACACTCATACATATGGATCAACTTGACTACTTTTCGTTTTTATAAGGTTAGATCATGAGTTTTAATTTTACATTTGACAAATGATAGTGATGCAAATTATACGGTTGGATACCCGTTTAATGACATTTAATTTTTTGTTTTTTTTTCCTTCGATTATGTACTATGTACAATATGGATTCACACCATCTTTTGGCCGGAACTATAGGTAGATAAATTATATTTTCACCCGAGGTTTTGATTTATTCACAACCTGAAAAAAAAAAAGAAAAAAAAATATAGATATACTAAATTTCTTTTTTTTTTTTTTTTTTTTTTTTTCAGGTTGTGAATAAATCAAAACCTCGGGTGAAAATATAATTTATCTACCTGACAACAAAATATAGATATACTAAATTTCGGTATTTTTTACCTGACAACAATTCTCTCTCTTGTGAGCAAGAAATTCTTCTCTTTGAGAGCGATATTCATCTCTTTGAGAGCCATAATTCTTCTGGTGGGAGGCAATAATCATCGCACATTTCATTTTCGATTTAAGTTTCTGTGTGTGTTAGGAGAAGTATTGAGGGTTTCGGCTGAAAGAGTCGCTGCAGATTGGAAGAGGATGGAAAACCTAGATTCAGCATCTGCAAAGGGCATTGACCCCGGGGAGGAAGTGACTCGGAAATTGAGTGAAATTTCGTTATTGGCAAATGAAGAGGGGGAAATCGAGCTGGATTCAGGAGACGTCAAGTCGAGTGAAGAGGAATGTAAAACAAGCCTATTTGGTAAGGTGGTAGGAGATCGCAGAGCAGGTCTTTTGGGAATGAAGCGGACCATGAGCTCTATTTGGAGAATCCAACAAACTTTGGAGGTTAAAGAGCTGAGCAAAAATTTTTTTCAGTTCATTTTTAACTCACAAGAGGATAAGTTGAAAGTGGTGGCAGGGCACAATTGGATTTTTGAGAACCAGTATCTCATCTTGACAGAGTGGTTTCCAGGGTTAAAGAGTAATCATTGCTGCTTTGAAGAAATCAAATTATGGGTGCAAATCCACAATGTTCCTCTGAACTGGATGAGTACTGATGTGGGAATCAAAATAGGCCAGATCTTTAAAGGGGTAAAAAATGTGGTTATTTGCAAAGAAGGAGGAGAATGAGGTAGCTTTATCAAGATTCTGGCGATTTTAAATGTCCATGAACCTATTCCCAGATGCAAAACGGTCAAGTTAGGGGACACTAAAGTTCAGGTGGCATTTAAGTATGAAAAATTAGTTAATCTGTGCTATTATTGTGGAAAGCTTGGACATTTGGATAGAGATTGCTCCAAGAGAACAGATGACATCGATAATAACAGGTTTCAGGGAGGTCAATATGGAGCATGGTTAAAGGCGGCTGGGACTTATCCGGGTGGTCGAAGCTCAACCTCTTATAGCTCGAGTGTTAAGATGAATCCAAATACCCTTAATACTAAGAGCGATCCGGTAGCTAAAAGCAGTGGACTTCCAGCTTCAAATGAGCAACAAATGGGAGATGAGCAAGATGTGAGGAGGGAATTGCAAGATTCGGGCGGAGATAATGAAACACAGCCGCAACAAGGTAAAGAATCTCTGAAGTTAGACCAGACAACTGAGGAGATCATGGATCAAAGGCCAGTTCAGCAAGAGTTAGTCTTAAATAGACCTATAGAGGTAGAAGGTTATGAGATGGGTGCTGAGGGGAGGATTGATCTTGATGAAGAGGGGTTAACCCAGGGAAAACCCAAGGATGCTAAAACCGCTACATGGATGAGGAAGCCACTAACAGGGGATAGAGTTCAAAGGCAGAATGAAATGGAGGTTCCTGAAATCAAGCATATTGGAGTGAAAAGAAGTAGAGAGCTGACTCTTGATCCAAAAGCAGAGATAAGATCCCAGGAATTACCAGACAAGAGGAATAAAGTCGACGATGAAAAAGTGCAGGTGGAGAAGGTCAGCCTCAAATGGCCCCGAAGTGACCTATGAAGGTCATGGTGTGGAACTGTAGAGGTTTGGGTGGGCCCTCTACGGTTCCCAAATCAAGGATGTCAGGAGAATCCACCACCCAAACATTTATTTTTTGTCAGAAACTAAAAAATCGTCGAGTTTTACAACAACTGTGTGTAAGAAGTTGGGCTTTGAAAGTAGATGGTTCTTACAAAAACCTGTGGGTATTAAGGGAGGTTTATTAATGATGTGGGATCTAAATGTGGAAGTCAGAAACATTGTGGGGACTGATTTCTGTTTGCAGGTTGAAACAAAAGAGTCAGGGCATGAAGAATGGTGTTGGTTAGTTTTTGTGTATCTAAGCACAGATAAAAAGCAGAGGGCAAGTCAGTGGGAATATTTGCTGGATCAAAAGAAGAACTGGGGTGATAGTTGGGCTATAGCAGGTGACTGGAATGATATTGTGAATAATGAGGAGAAAAGGGGGGGAATCTGTAGACCCGAAGGCAGTTTTGTGGGATTCAGAAATTTTATTTCGATGATGGAGATGATAGAAATGGCACAGAAAGGGGCTTTTTTCACATGGGGAAATAATAGGCAGGGTGATGGCTATGTGGAAGAAAGACTGGATAAAATCTTTACCTCCATGGAGTGGCTGACAACATTTCCTGCCATGGAAGCTTCCAATTTCTATCGTAGTGCATCCGATCACAATGTCATCCTCTTCGACACTAAAGGGACAGGGGTGGACAGAAAGAAGAGATTTATCTTCGACAGTGCTTGGTTACAAATGGAAGGTATCAATGAAGCTGTACAAGAAGGGTGGCAAACTCCAGTGAACGGAAGTGCTATGTTCCAGATCCATCAGAAAATCAAATTTACAAGAATGGCGATCTTATCTTGGAGGAAACCTTTCCTTAGAAACAGTGCAAAAACCATTCAAACTCTGACCAAAACTCTTGAAGATATGAGAATGGAAGGCAATGCGAAAGATTGGGATAGTTGGTGGCAGGTGAGAGTTGATCTTGACAAGGCACATAAGGAGGAAGAACAATTTGGAGACTTAAATCCCGGAACTTGTGGTTGAAGCAGGGCGATGCAAATACAAAATTTTTTCATGCTGCAACCACTCAGAGAAGGAAACTTAATTCAATCCAAAAGCTGGTAGCAGATTCAGGAGAAGTTTATGAATCGCAAGAAGATTTGGAGAGGCATATTTCTAAATTTTACAAGAAACTTTTCTCGTCAGAAGGATCAGTGGGTGGGGAAGACTTATTGCAACATATTTCCCAAGCTGTATCAGATGATATGAACAACAGACTCATCAAGCAAATTGGGGAGGAAGAAATTAAAGCAGCGGTCTTTTCTATGGCCTCTGAAAAAGCTCCGGGGGAGGACGGGATGTCTGCGGCCTTCTTTCAACATTTCTGGCACATAATTCACTCAGATGTCTGCAGAGCTATTAAGAGCTTCTTTGTTTCAGGCCATATGGCAAAGAATTGGAATCACACAGTGATCACACTAATTCCAAAGTGTTTATATCCAGAACATCTAAGCAATTTTAGGCCAATGAGTTTGTGCGGTGTACTGTATAAAATAATAGCTAAGGTACTGGCCGAGAGGGTGAAAGATTGCCTCAGTGAATGTGTGAGCCAGCAACAGACGGCTTTTGTTCCAGGACGTCAACTTCTCGATAATATGGTTTTGGCACATGAAGTTTTCCATTATCTCAACAGGCACAGATCGGGAAAGAACGTTTTTATGGCTATTAAACTGGATATGGAGAAAGCGTACGACAGAGTCGAGTGGAATAGCATTAGTAAGACCATGACCAAGATGGGTTTTCACAGGAAGTTTATTAAATGGACCCTTGCTTGTGTCACTTCAGTTTCATTCTCTTTTAACATCAGGGGGAAAATATGTGGGTTTGTCTCTCCTTCGCGAGGCATTAGGCAAGGTGATCCGTTGTCGCCTTATATATTCATTCTTATCTCGGAATTATTCTCTGCAACTTTATCTAAGTATGTGCAAAATGATCAGTTCAGAGGAGTGAAAGTGTCAAAAGATGGGCCTGTGATCTCACATTTGTTATTTGCAGACGATGCATTAGTTTTCTGTAAAGCGGATGAGCATCATGCCTTATTACTGCTCAAGATACTTAATCAATACCAAGAGTTTGCAGGTCAGAAGGTAAATTTGAACAAATCTTCAATGTTTCTCAGTAAAAATTGTTCTGAAGAATTGAAAGCGAAGCTCAGTGATATCTTTGGAGGTGTGGTCATCAAGAAATATTCGAGATACTTAGGCCTACCACTAGGAATAGGAGCATCAAAGATGGAAGCTTTTCAATTTGTTCTTGATGCAGTGAGGAATAGAATATGCAGTTAAAAAAACAATTTCTTGTCTACAACTGGCAAGGAGGTGATGGTGAAGGCAGTGTTGAATGCTTTACCTATTTTTGTGATGTCTTGTTTTGTGCTGCCACAGGGCATTTGTAAGGCTATATGCAAATTGACTGCTGATTTTTGGTGGCAAACAAATGATCAGAACAACAAAGGTATGCATTGGATGGCGTGGGAGAGAATGGCATGTCCTAAGGAAGACGGGGGAATTGGATTCCAAAATATCAAGATTTTTAATATGGCTCTAATCCTAAAACAACTATGGAGAGTTACTGACCAGCCAGACCTTCTTGTGAGCCGAGTGCTTAAAGACAGGTATTTTCCCACTCAATCTATATTTGAAGCTCAAAAGAGCAGTGGATCGTCGTGGCTCTGGAGCTCATGGTCAAAGTTTTTGCCTTTCCTGAAATTACATATGACCAAAAAAAATTAAAAATGGGGAATCTACCAAAATAAATGAAGTCAATTGGGTCCCAGGCATAAAGGGCAGAAAACCTGAATTGAGGGTAAGGATTGAAGGCAATGATTTTTGGGTGAGAGACTTGCTTGTGGATGGTGGTAGGAGATGGGATACAACTCTTGTTACAGCACTCTTTAAACGAGAAGATGCAGCGAAGATCCTAGCCATTGAAAAGCTCAATCCTACAGCTGGGGACACATGGAAGTGCAATTTTACTGAGAAAGGTATGTTTTCAGTCAAAAAAGCATACTCTCTGATGATAGCCGGGAAGGTGCATGAAGGAACTAGAGCGGAAACCAGCTGTTTGGCAAGAAATAATAAGAGGGCTCGATTGAGGTGCTGGAGACTCAAGGTTATTGGCAAAGTGAGGCATTTTGTATGGAGGTGTTTTTCGAATATTGTTCCAGTCAACTGCAACATCAAAAACAGAGGCATGGAGATAGAAACAGTCTGCCAGATATGTGGTGAGCATGAGGAAACATTAGAGCATACACTTTTTTTCTGTGCAAGAGCGGGGAACACATGGAAATTAGCACCTGTTCAGTGGAATAGGATTCAAGAAGAACATCTTTCTTTTAAACAGTGGTGGTGGTGGGTAAGCTCCATGAACTACACAGAAACATCTGAAGAACGAATCCAATTATCAACGTATATTTTGTGGTGGTTATGGAAAGCACGAAACCTATGGGCATTTGAAAAAATTTGGCAACCGGAGTGGTGGATTATCAAGATGGCAATGAAGGAGTGGCTGGAATTTTAAAAAGTGATCAAAGGGAGCTGATAGAAGGGAAGATAAACAACCATTAGGTCTTGTGTCAGTTGTGGTTTGTTTTCTTTGTTTACTTTCAGTACAGGTTTTGTTTATATGTACCGGCCATTCTATTTGAGTCCATGTTAGGAGTTCTTATTTGTAGTATGTGGACTTTGTTTATTTGTATTAGTTTTAGCAGATGTAGTTTGGCTACGTCTTTTTCGATTAGGTTGCAATTGCAGTATGTAACCTCCCAGGATCTGCGGATTGGGATTTTATCCCGTGTAATTTCGTTCCTTTTGTTTTAATGAGATGTTATGCCGTTTGAAAAAAAAAAAAAAATACTAAATTTCACTCATAAATCACTTTGGATGTCATTCTGTTAGAAATTTATTTTTGTTTTCTTTCTTCCATTTTGTACTATGTACTATATGGGTTCACATCTTCTTTTGGTTGGAATTATAGGTAGATAAATTATTGTTTCAAAAGTTTTGATCTACTTACCAGCTTAAAAAAAAAAGAAGAAGAAGAAGAAGAAGAAAATCTACCAAATTTCACTTATAAATCACTTTAAAAGCGGTGTGAGATGGATCACAGGTAATGGTAAAAAGGCACATTTTTGCCTCGACCCATGGCTGGGATGGATGACGCTTTGGTCAACGTTGCAACCAAACAACTGCAAGAGGAGGATTTATTGAAGAACGTGGCGGCATTTGTGGGTGACGATGGTGACTCGAAGTGGGATCTTTTTCACTCGTTCCTTCTCTGTATTGCTGCCACCATACCTCCTAGAGTAAGGGCAGAAGATGATCGTATCGTTTGGAGCTTATCCAACGACGGAAGATTCTCAACAAACACAGCTTACAGCTTGCTTTTACAACAAAAAAAGGACACGAATATGCACATCTAGAAGATAATCTGGCGGACAATGGCGCCACAGAGAGTACGTAACTTTTTATGGCTCATCGAGAAGGGACGATTACTCGCTAATTCGGAGCGCTATCGGCGACATATTACCAATTTTGACGAGTGTGACTTTTGTGGGGAGAGCGAGACCGTACTCTATGTTATAAGGGAGTGTCCTTTTGTCAAGAGCTTATGGCAACGCATACTCTTGGACGCGAATGAACCGGAATTTTTTTGACCAGCCCCTTAAACTATGGTTCTACAAAAACCTAGCAAAGTCGCGACTTGGAAATATCAGAGGATGGAGTAGCCTGTTCGCATCGACGGTTGGCGATCCTGGACATGGAAGAACTTCCGAATTTTTTAGGGAAAAACTTTGAGCTGCGAGGCCTGCCGTTTAGAGGTGATGAGCCGGATGGAAAGTTATATCCTCACAACAAATGCATACACTTGGCAGAAATGAATCACTACATCACGGCTTATTCATTGGTCTCCGCCGGATTTGAGATGGATAAAAATCAATACTGATGGAACCTTCGATAAGTCCACCGAGTTGGGTAGTGTTGGAGGACTTCTCCAGAACCCTTTAGGTGGTTGGATCGCGGGTTTTCTCATGAACATTAGGTATTGCACTATTACGAGGACCAAATTATGGGGGTTTTTTCCAGGTTTGCAACTTTCATGGGATAGAAGTAAGACTGCAAACGAGTCGAGCAGCTCGCGAGCCGCTCGCGAGCGCTCGAGTCAAAGCTCGGCTCGAGCTCGAGTTTGACCGATCTCGAGTCGAGCTCGAGCGACTCGAGCACGAACTCGAGCCCATATATTGCATTGTCGAGCGGCTCGCGAGCGGCTCGAGATATGTGAAATTACTAAAATACCCTTGTATATATATGTAATTAATGGTTATTTTACAAAATTTCTTGAAAAAATTCGAGCCGAACTCGAGCCGAGCTCGAGCATTATGAATTCGAGTCGAGCTCGAGCTCTTGTATGTTTTGATCGAGTCGAGCTCGAGCACCAAAAATCGAGCTCGACGAGCTCGAGCTCGAGCTCGAGCATCTAAAAAAAAAAAATCAATCCGCTCGATAAGGTCAATGCTCGACTCGGCTCGGCTCGTTTGCAGCCCTAGATAGAAGGTACCGCTAAGTTATAGGAAGTGGATAGCCAATGCGCGGTAAACATGGTCCTTGGGACCGAGAATAACTTTGGGGCACATGAGGCGCTAGTGAAGGCCATACGACAAGTGACTCAAAGGGTGTGAAACATTGAGATCCGACATGTGCATCAAGAAGTCAATTTTACAGCAGATCACATGGCCAACTTGACCGCGTCTTTCTCTATCGGGCTAGAGATAATGACTGCACCTCCGCCTGGGTTGAGACGAGCATGATATAATAGGGAGGTGCTACCCACTCCACGTCCCAATCTAAACTGCAGGGCCTTTGCCTCCTTTATTGCACCCAAAAAAAAAAAAAAAAGCATACCGAACTTATATAATCACTCTGATACTCTACACTTTCACCCCTCGAATATTTCCTATTTACATACCTTTTTCACTTTTAATTGCATTAGAAATTCAACACACACATCGATTAACCTGTATATATATATACACGTAAAGCCATGGCTTGATCTGTTTATTACGAATACCCACTGTTCCCCTATTCCCCTCATGGATTGAATATATATCTCTCTCTCTTCCCCAAGCTCGGGCGCTTGGTTTCTCTGTCTAGGGTTTTCTGGAGTTGAAGTACGATTTCATGTATGTTCCATCTTAGGGTTTTAGTTCTGCCGGGAATTGAAGGAAGCGGTTTTCTTTGATTTGCTGTTCTCTCTTAGCGGGAGCTCTGCCGTCGTCCGGTGAGGATTTACCTTCTGATTGTTTCTTTTTAAATCTTTGTTTTTGTTTGAGGTAGGGTCCGTAGGAATTCGTTTCCTTGCTCTGAGATTTCAGTTTCTGTTTTTTCCCTTTTACTGGACGGATGTCTTGACCTTAATTTGTGGGACCATCTTCAAAATATTGGAGGTATTTGAGCTTGTGAAGGATTAGTGCTTGTAACTTCTTGTAATTTGAGCTATTGGTTTCTGAGGATGGATATTAGATGGATTTTGTTTATTAGGTACAATGTGGTTGGTGGTGTTAGTGAGTTTGAAAAAATGTTCTGGCTAAATGAGTAATCTATGAATGTTGAATGTGTTCTATGTTTATGGCACTCGTAACTAGTATTTTGGCACGGGGGACTGTGTTGTTCTGCTCTGGTTGAGGGGCATTTGCAAGTTGGGACCTCCTTTCACAATGACCTACATATTCTGTTCTAGGATGTTTCTGATTGACTTAAATGATTGCCAGCATGGATTTGAATGCATCCCCTGAACCCGAAGAGGATGATGTGTTTCCTGAGCCACATTCAGAAGAAGAAAATGTACCAGGTGAATTTGCTGACTACAATGAACATGCCGAACGTGGTGAGAGTGCAGTTCAGATTTCACGCAGGGTAACAATCTGTCTCTGTTTGCATCTAATATTTGGCCGGATATTGTTAATTCTTTTGTTGGTTCATTTTGGTGTAAAGTTTATGATGATTTTGTTGAGGTAACTATCAGTGAGCATTTTCCATGTAGCTCTTTGGTGCAAAGCGTTGCTATTTGATGACAACTATTGTACTCGATACTTTCTGGGAGCATGTAATTTAGGCTGTTGGAATGTGATTTTTTAGAGGTTAAAATGCTTTTACTTGGCTATTTGGTTGCATCTTCAAATCATAAGAATCTCTTTCAGTATGGTGCCGTTTGCTTTGACACTGTGCCAATGTTAAGCAGTTGTGTATTCTCATGTTTTTGTGCTGGGTAGTCGTCTTTTAAAAGTCGAGCGAGACCATCAAGGTTTCCTATTGTTGGGTGCCTTTGAATTATGCAGTTATTTCTGCTAACACATTAAAATCTTAATGGGTTTGCATCCCAAGTGGATCATCCATCTCCTTCTATTGGCCTTTCACTTTTGTAGTACTGTCACAAATGGTGTACTCTCTTTACTAGTTTACTTGGCTGCTGTTCTGTGCTTACTGTATCAATCCATTGTTACAATTTGCAGCTTCACATGTGTTTCTTTGAATCAGGAACGTGAAGAAAGGATGCAACGGATACGAAGACAGCGTCCTGATGAGAAACCAGCCTATGGGTATCAGTCCAGTCAGCGGGATGCTGGGTATCAAGTAAAGAGGCAGAGACCTAGTAGTAGACTTCCACCAGGTAAATTATTTACAATTATATTTCAGATACCTTTGATGGCATTGTAATGAGATGACAGATTCCCATATTAGAATTATTCTTTTTTATGCTCTTAAGCAGAAAAGAGCCTGTTGTTTGTTTCATTCAACTTGAACTGGCCATTTAAACTCTTAATACCGCCTGCTGTGAAGATGCCCAAATATGGATACTTTTATGTGCTCATATAAGTTGTTAATAGCAAAAGGCTTGTTAAGTTTCCTATTAATCCGTAAGAGGAAACAGGAAAAGAAAATTCGAAAGAATTTGAAAGATCGACTTAGTTTGGGTCCCCCTGTTGATTTTGTATAGGTATTGGTTCTTTCACTTTTCTGATGATATTGGACTGTTATTTCTTGTGGGATCAGTGTTCCCTGGGTTCTATTTGTTGATATGTTATTATCCTGTGGGAAAAATGGTCGTCGTAACTGCTGTTATTGTTATGATTAGTTTTGTCATCATGCACTTGTATTTCTCATGTGGCAGGTTGGTTAGACTGCCCTGCATTTGGACAAGAAATACGGAGTTTGGTGCCCTCAAAAGTTCCTTTAGGTGAAGCATATAATGATGATGTTCCTCCTGGTAAAAGATACTCATTCAGGCAGGTGATACATCAACAAAGAGTTTTAGGAAGGAAGGTGGGTAGCTTCATAAAACTTAACCATATTATTATTATTATAAGATTATTAGCTTTTCGTTGTCATATGATTAATCTGGAACTTGATAATGTCATCTTTTGGTGATTTTAAAATTTAGTTATTATGACCTTCGTAGCATTTAAGCGTGAATCTTGATTATGATTTGCTCAATTTGTAATGATGCCTCTGTGTGTTACTTTGGGAAACTTTTCTGGTGCCTATTGCATGATTCGAGTTTTCTACTGAATCTTTCAGCTTGGTTTGGTGATTGATCTTACCAATTCAAGTCGATACTATAATGTGAATGACTTTAAGAATGGTGGTATGAAGCATGTAAAGGTGCGCTATATTTGCTCTCAACCTCATTGGTATATATTTACTGTCTTTACCTCTTTCAGTATGATTATTCATCTCCTGACTGCCTGCTGTCTTGTAATTCAGATTGCATGCAAGGGGCGTGATTCAGTGCCAGAGAATGAGGCTGTAAATAAATTTTTCTATGAGGTATATATCTTCATAGATGCACAACACACAACTCTTGATGGTGTTTATAGAACCTAACATATAAGTGTTTTATCAGGTCTTCCAGTTTCTGAGTCAGCAGAACAAGCAACAAAAGAAGTATATTCTTGTTCACTGCACGCATGGGCATAACCGTACTGGATATATGATTGTCCACTATCTCATGCGTACGCTGCCCATATCTGTCTCTCAGGTTAGTTGGCTATCCTTCTAAACTTTTCTTCATTTGTTTGAAATGGATTTTGACATGTTTCTGTTGTTGTGCTCCTTTTGCAGGCAATCAAGATATTTGCTGATGCACGTCCACCGGGGATTTACAAACCAGATTATATTGATTCCTTGTACGATTTCTATCACGAGAAGAAGCCGGATATGGTTGTTTGCCCCCCAACTCCAGAGTGGAAAAGATCTTCTGATCTAGATTTGAATGGTGTCGCGATGCCAGATGATGATGACGAAGATGGAGATTCAGCGGCTCCTGTACACGTATATTCTACTTGATTTTTATTTTTTCGCAAAATAAATTTATTTCCTGTACTAGGGTGTGCATATCCTGCATGTGGTCGATCTAGTTGAAATTTTCTCTGATGTCATCCGTGTTAACAATTGAACATTGACCACTTCAGGAGACTAAGGAGACACAACAGGTCATGACAAATGATGATATTTTGGGGGATAAAATACCTTTTGACCAAGAACTATCAATGCGGCATTTTTGTTACAGAATGATGAAGTTGTCTGTGCCTCAAGGGGTAAGGTTCTCAAGGAGTACAGATTTTGATCGAAGGCACTGCTTTGGGGTTTTGGCCAACTGAGAATTAGTAAACGAAGTCATTTATCCACCCCAAAAACATACCTTTTCATTGATATCTATAAATTAAATATATTAGTATTTTTTTTTTACTAGATCAAAATGGCTCAATTAAATTCTAGTGCTTCTTCTATTAGTGAAGTTTCTAGAAAAAAAAATATCAAACGACGCAACGCACCTTGGGTCGCTATGGAAACAGCCTCCTTGTATAATTACAAGGGTAAGGTCTGCGTACAACTGACCCCCCAGACCCCAACCTGTTGGGAATATACTGGGTATGTTGATGTTGATGTTGATGATGTGGTGAATAAGCATCAAAAAAGGAAAAGGAAGCAACATACATTAGTTCAAACGAGACTGTAATAAGGTTGAAACTTTTATAAACAAGGATTGGGACACACTTCTTTTAGTTCTGACAATAAAGTACAAAGGCCCAAAAAATTATGGAATATGCACTGTGTAGGTCGCCCTTTTGTGCCGATTTCTTTAAGTATTGCCATCTCTGATAAGTATATTCTATTAATCGCCAGGCAAGAGGACCTCAGAACTTTCCTGGCTCACATCCAGTTTCTCTTAACAGGTCTCCATCAACTTTTTCTCGGTTTATGCGAATGGCTTTTGTTGTTACTGATACATCAATGTTGATTGATTATTGATTTTATTGCTGTGTATGTTGTGATTCTATATATATGGAATGTGCCAAGTTTAGATAACAATGGATCTCATACAAAGATCATAAATAGGGGAATGATGTCGGGTCACCCTTATATTATTGTTTGTTCATGCCGCTGTTGGTACTCGTCTATGTAATGTACATTGCATTTCCTTCATTGTAGAAATTAGATATAGAATGATTGAAGGAATAGAGGGTGGAAGCCAATTCATAAAGATAGTGGACTTGTTGAATTCCGGGAAGAGCTGAAAGGAAGCTAAATAGTTATAATTTTATACTCTACTCATGCCTTCTGTTTTGTCTCCAAAATACAACGCTGTGGATTCAAGATGTATTGTGGGACTTAATGTCCCACTTGAGTATCTTAATTTTGTTCACAATAATCTTCATTAATCCTCTTTGATTTCTTTATCACATTCACATCGTTCAAGTGGCGAAATAGGATCTATTGTCCTTTTCTTTTCCCCATACACTGGCATTTAATAATTACTTCTTAATAATCCATCCAGGGACAACTTACAATTATTGAGGCAACGTTACTACTACGCGACATGGAAAGCTGATGGAACTAGATATATGATGCTTATCACCATGGATGGTTGTTACTTGATAGATAGGCATTTTACTTTCCGGAGAGTCCAAATGCGATTTCCTTGCCGGCATGCTAATGAAGTATGTGATTCCGTTCATATTTGGATTAGCTCGGATTTCTTCGAGTTTTTAATAGCATTAAAGATCGATGTTCATCCCCATGTTTTTTAAATCTATAAGTTTGTGCAGAAGGGAATGCCAGAGAAGATGTATCATCATTATACTTTGCTTGATGGGGAGATGATAATTGACACAGTGCCTGATTCACAGAAGCAAGAAAGAAGATACTTGATCTATGATATGATGGCCATTAATAATGTTTCCATCGTTGAGGTAATATATGGAAACATGACCTTTCAGTTGATCATTCTTTCTCCCATGGTTCTCTATTGGTGTTGCCATAGCTACTTTGTAATTTAGAATCTTGTATTCCTCGGACCCGTTTGGTAGGGGTTATTGTGTATGATAAGGGCTATTTTTTACACATCAAACAAAATAATACCCAGTAGTTACCTATTAGAACCCCTGGAAAATGCCCAGGCCCGATACGTATTGACCTCAAATCTGGGTAAGCCATCAGGCATCATACCTCCTCCACTTGGTCCACTATCTTTTTTTTCATCAGCCTATTATAAGCTCTTAATGCGAAGACCTGAAATTCCCCCGTCATATAAATCTGACGTTTTTGTTGGCTTAAAATCATTATACGCTGTTATGTAGAGGAAGCTCGACGGCGCCAAGGGAAACAAATTTGAAAAAGTACACTACTCTTTGTGTCAGTTTTTTGTTTCCCCCAGATTTATACTAGATGATTAATATTAATAATGTTGACACACCAGCTTTATTTATGTCCTTTCCCTTTCAGTTTTGGTGAACAACTTGAAAGGTTAATGAAATTTTGAATATATTCCCCCTTCTATATGGCAAAATTTCAAATAATCCTGAAACATTTCGAAGAATAATGAAAGCAAGTGGCTCGAGGGCTGAGAAGGGAACTATCTCCCTTTCTTGATTTGATGATTAGCTGAGTTCTTTTGGTGATTAGATGTCCCTTTAAATCTCGTGGGGTCAGATGTAAACCGAACTTAATGATAATGGACTAAATGAAACAATACCGAATCCTTTCGATATTCTTTGGGTAAAATGCACGAACAATATAATGGCCGTAATTAGATCAATTGGATTAACAATGGTAGCAAATCACCTCTGTTATGTCCAAGTGACCAAACGAGCTTCTGGTACAATATCAGAAGTAGGGATGCTGTATTTTGTGGCATTACATTGATTTGCAGATAATTTGGCCTTGTTTGCTGCTACTGGTTCTAGATTAGATCTTTCATTTCAATCTTTTATTATTATCTATTGTTTAAGTAATCATGATGATTGCTATTTTTGTTTATTTTGGTTAACTGTTCAAGTGATCAATAATCCAAGAAATATTATGCGAGTTCTATGCTGGATATTGTTACTCTGCACTAGAGAAATATGGTAACGTGTGCCAAGGGCTTCACTTGGTACTGCAATGAGTGCTCTGTTTGGATAGTACACTGGTTTGCTAGACTTGTTACAGCACGGATTGCATTAATGCGTATATCTGCTTTGTTTTCAAGTTTTTGTTTTGTTTCTGCATTTTATTCTCTCACGGGGAATATGTGCGAATCTTTATTTGTCTATCCTTTTTATTCTCAGAGAGACCTTTTCTGCACTTGGATGCATATATCTTATTTGTTAGTGAAGACCATTGATTAAGAAATGCTGCTTGTGAAAGGCTATCGAATTTATAAAATCCATTTATCGTGTTGGCAAAATTACATGTTTCTCTCAGATTCTTCTTTGTCACGAGAGCACACGTGGTTGATTTCACCTATTCATATATTTATTTGTTAATTATGGTGCTTCCGGATGTCTTCAACATAAATCTTAATGCATGCAGTTACCATTTTACGAGCGTTGGAAAATGCTCGAGAAAGAAGTGATTGAACCTCGGAACCTTGAGAGACACCATATGTATCAGAGCCAAAACCCTTATTACAGATATGATTTGGAACCATTCAGGGTTTGAAATCCTTTAACCTCAATATGTTACTTACTTACTTGTCATTGTATCTTCTTCTGCTGGGTTTATGATAATCATTTAATTGACATTTGGCAGGTACGGAGGAAAGACTTTTGGCTGCTTTCTACTGTTACAAAACTGTTGAAAGGATTTATTCCAAAGCTTTCACATGCAGCAGATGGTCTTGTTTTTCAGGTGCATAGGCTTTGGGTTTTAAGACTTGTTTCCTCTTCGCACTCTTTTTTGCGTGGCAATCTCTTCTTTTCTCTGGTTCTTTCTCTTTCATGACTAGCATTTACCATCAGAAATATGTTAAAACTTAAAGTTGCATATATTTAGGTTTGACTAGCCTTCTTTCAGTTTTGTAATAATTTTTATCTAGAAAATTTTTCTTGGCACCTGGAAAAAATGTGTTCTAAATTGTTTATTTGCTCATTTACCTTGAGACCATCTCCATCAACTCAAACTTTTCCTGGTCTCCAAAATTTGAGACCCTCGCAAATTGCGTTACCGTGACCTGTTTGATAGGGTCTCACGATAAAAGGGGTATTAACACCTCGTGATGAGAAATTTGTTGATTTGCATACCTATGATTATATGTTTGAGATCCACTTATGGGGACAGTCTAACAATACTTGTTAATCATCTGTCATTTAGGGTTGGGATGATGCTTATGTTCCAAGGACACATGAAGGCCTTTTGAAATGGAAATACCCAGAAATGAATTCAGTGGACTTTCTCTTCGAGGTTTTGCATTTCTATTGTATTTCTTTGATAGAATTTACCTGCTTCCAGTTTTTGCTTTGTATTCTACATATGTCTTATTTTCTTTGCTTGCCTATTTTTTGCTAACACAGGTGGTTGACGATCATCAATTACTTTCTCTGTTTGAACGAGGGAAGAAGAAATTGATGGATGCTAGGGTTGTGTTTCCTGGTTAGTTTATTATTTCCAAGCTTGCAGACTAAAGCCAATAATAATTAATACTAGTTGGCAGAAATTGTTTTAGCATCGTGTGTGTGTGCCTTTGTGTTCCTTCATTCATCACTCATAATTTCAAACGAGCCCCAAAAGTGTTAACAAGTACCCTTGATGTTTGTATTTATGTATTAAAACCTGTAATTTTTAACAATTACTGGGTTCTTTTGTGCTCTGCTTGCTCGTCAAGGGTAGTTTTTAAATTTATTCTAAAACCCCTCAATTTTAGATCCTTAGTTTTGTGGCCCACTTAATTTGGTACATTTGGCATGTATTGTATCACATCATCCCGTTAATGCATTTGTTTTTTTTTTGTTTTTTTTTGTTTTTTTTATTCTATCCAAACTGTTTGCATAATTTATTCATGTTTTGGAGCTTTCAGACGGGAATGATCCGTCAACTTATTCGGGGAAGATTATTGAGTGTTCATGGAATTCTGAGGAAGGTGTATGGGTGTGTATGAGGGTGAGGATAGACAAAGGGACTCCTAATGAATTCAACACGTACAAGAAGGTAATCTTTTCGGTTGTTATACTGTATGTATCCTTGGCCTCTTTAAGGGATATATAGTAAATACCATATCACCCCAGACATTTGATGTAATTCTGGAAAAAAAAAAAAAAATTCATCTGTCTTTAAAAATGACAAAATTCCAATTTTGGAACCAATATTTATTATTTTGAAGAAACTGAAGTTGTTTTTTGTAACTATATCTTACTCTTCTTCAAAGGGAGCTATAATGCCGATTATTGTTGTGCCGAAAATTGACAACAGGTTATGAGAAGTATAAAGGACAATATCACGGAGGATGTTTTGCTGAACGAGATCAACGAGATCATACGCTTGCCAATGTATGCAGATAGGATACAGAACGAAAGCAAAGCCCATCAACACAATTCAGCACGCCGTAGGTAAATTGAAAAGGTTTCAATCAAGCTGGGCCTTATAATCTGTTTTTCTCAATATTTAGAGCGATTATAAAGTCTGATAAGACATTTCAAAAAGAATCGAGCATCAAGACAAATTTTAGTGGTTTGTGTTGTGTGCCTGTGTGTTTTCTGGTGAGACTCACTCGGCACACTCTTATACAAGTGAGGATCCTCTGAAGTCGGGGATTAATTTCCCTCGGCCTATTTTAGATTGTTATAGGAGTAGTTGATTGATAGGATAGCCATTGTATATTATTGTTTTTTTTCCAGATTGCAGTATGTTCTTTTACAATTAGTTGGGTAGAATTTGTTGCAGGGTGTTAGATTTGAAAGATAATAAGTCGAATTTTATATAAAATCTCCCGTTATTAATGAGGACTGTTGTTATGGTTGGGCTGAGATGAGTTTCTCTGTGTTTTTTCTTTTTGCTTTTTTCCCCAAAAAGTTTTGAAATTTTGGATAGTTGAGTTGCTTTTATGCTTTGTGCTACAAAATTTGGCTACACTTACGAATTGACTGTGTAAACGAGTCGAGTTGAGCCGTTTGTGATTGTTTAAAAATTTATCAAGATTTATATTATTGTGTATACCATGTGTGATTTTTGACTCGAGTTGAGTTCAAATGAGTTTTCAATTGCTGTGGACACATGAATTTAAGTTTTGAGTAGTTTTATTTACCTATATGAATTTATTATTTTCTTAATCTTTGTACTCAAATATTAGTCTCTTCCTCAGAAAATATGGGTCACTCCTGATTTTGGAACTGACAAAAAAATAATCCAAAGAAATTTAAATCAAAGTGATGTCTGAGGTTTGCTAAAAAAGCCCGCAAAATAAGCAACTTTTTCTTGGGTAGCTATGGCACTGAATTTAATATGTCGAAATTTGTGAACATTTATTATTTTTTTTTTTTTTTTTTTATTTTTTATCAAGTTGTAGTGTTTATACGTCGCAAATACTTAGGTGCGTCTTGGCACACTTAATAAGGTGTGTCAAGGCATTTTTAAAATGAATATGTGTAAATATGTTTACACATGTTCATTTTATTGTGTAACATGTTCGTTTTAAACTGTTTTGGCACACCTAGCTAGGTGTGTCAGGGCGCACGGTAATAGCATTGGTGTATATGTGACTAAAAGCTCTTTTTGGGTTAATCAATACTATCAATATGTATGCGTTCAACCCAACTTCGAAAAATTCCTTCAAAAGAACAATACAAAAGGCAAGTAAAACTATGTAAGTTTTGAATCAACATCTTTTCTTTTCTCCTTAGAAGTTAGAAAGAAAGTGGAAGGAACAAACAAAAAAAAAAAAAAAAAAAAAAAAAAAAAAGCAAATGGTCATACTTGCTTTATCATATGAACCTTCAACTTTCGTTAAATTGATATATAAAAAAAAAAATATCTTACATTTGTATATTTAAAAAGGTATATGACGTGCTTCACATCTTTTGACTGATATTTTTTATGGGATTTTAAGTATGTTGGAACTTGGGTGTGTAGGTACATGTTTTTGGGAGAATAACAAAGAACATTACGAACGGAGAATGATAACGAATGACTCGATCAAACCACAAAACACGAACCATGAACACGATCTTCAAACAAAGAATTTAAATAAATAATCAAAGTCGAGGCACATGTAATTTTATTCTCCGTAAGACAACATTGCCACCAATTAATGTTCACAGTTTTTGATAGATGTCTCCACGATACGACTTTGATCTTGTGTATAGTGACATTTCAAACGTACAAAATTTCTGCAAACTTACTTGTATTTAGAACTATCAATAAATAAAGAAATAATAATGAACACAATATAAACATCAACTATCTTATGTTCTATCTCAATTACTTATATTTATGTTAAATTCTCCAGTGTTATATGCATTTCATGTCATATGGGTAATTATAGATGATCTTGGGTATCTTCAGGGATTTATGCGTCAAAAGACACCTTCCAGGACGTACTCGATTGTCCAAAATTAGAACTTTTCGGCAGGTATGTTCAGGTTGGGTGCTCGTTGCCGACGATGATCCATCCCAACTGGTGGGTTGATCCGAGTTTCGGGCCTGCGATGGAGCTTGGCGGGCGCCTGTGCGCCAGGAGCTCGTAGGCGCTCGTTCAGACTCGAAATCGTGTTATGTTATTTTGTGCTCGTCCCCAACGAACTTTTTTATAGTTCTAGTATGTATACTGCATGGTTATGGCTCGTTTAGCTCGTACAAACATTCGTCAAAGACAAAACGTTCGTCAATCCAACAATATTTGAGCAACTTAAAACTCGAATTCCCCACAATTCAACATTAGAAATAATTCTCCATTCAACCTAAAATGATTTTGAAATTTTATTCTAAGTCTTTCATTACGGAAACATAAATGTAAACTCGGTACAAGACCGATTTTTTATACAAATCCGCCCTTCGATCACCTATAAAGGGTGGAAAGGTGTTTGCAACATAAACACTCCAACGCACAAGTTAAAAAGAGTGCCAAGCAATAAATTCATTATTTTTATATTAAGAATATGCTAGAGATGTTGATTAAAAAAAAAAAAAAAACTCGAGACCTATGTTTATAGGTATATCGCATTCGTGTTCTCAAGTAAAATACTCGTTTAAAGAAGGAAGCAACATTTAAACGAAACATATGAAGTATATGAATAGCGTTTTTAGTGTTGAATTTTAGAATGTTCAATAACAATAGTTTTGCAATTAAATTAGTTCAATCTTTGAAAATGATGGAGTTCTCTTATTCTTTTGAAATAACATATGAACTCTCAAACACCCTAAATACAAAAAAAACAAAACAAAAACAGCAATATAAGCTCTCAAAAAAAAAACTTTCAAGTTCTTAGGCAAAATGATGATCCAAAATCAATCGTGATGATCTGGACTTCTCTCGGACCAGGATGACACCTCTTATATTACTTGTTGCTTGTATCTTTCTTCTTGTTCCTTATTTGTTATCATTTGACATGATGTATATCAGACATTTGTATTGTAGACTGTACTTTTTTCAATCAATTTAAGGTCGTTTATATACAGGTTGGGGTCCGACCTTAACTCACCTTTTTAGGGTGTTGTTTGAAAATAAAAATAAAAATCAATCATGATGATCATCTTAGGATTTCGCTGGAATCAATTTTTGTCAATCCCCAAGTGCAGCACTCCTAAAAATGTGCCAATTATAAAGATTTTGTTTAGCTTTAGTAACATGCCAAAATCTATATTCTTTCTTGGGATTCAAATTCATTCACTAAATATTTTAGTGCACACAGTCATGTTTTTTGAGATTATAAAACCCATTATATAAAGAGTTTGTGCATCCTACTTTTGTTCTATAATTAGTATTTTGAGGTTGTCAGAATAACTGCATGCTAAAGTTGCTAACTTTAATACAATTTATATCTGTTTAAATTAATTTATAGTAATATAAACTCTTGCATGCATTGGAAGATTAAGGATATATATCTTGATCAGTGGTGCAATATTCTGATTTTGCAGGGCTTGTATGCAATAAATTACTACTATTTTGAAAAAAGAAAAAGAAAATGCCAAGAAATTAAATGGGCTCAATTAATGTGCTATATACAATGTTGGTATCAAGAAAGATATGCTTGTGCATACTAGATTTTGTTAATTAGTGAAGTCTTTCTTTATTTTATTATTTAATTTCATTTTTCTGATAAAAACAAAGTATATATGATATGCATAGTATAATTAGTCTATAACATAGTATGATCTTAGAATTAATCTTAATGTTACAACAACAAAAAAATTAATATTCAACTCTTGAGCACATATTATGCATAATTATGGGTCCAAAATGAGGGCTTCTTTTTTGCAGATAGTGGCAAATATTGATGAAAATTTAAAGTAGTGACATGTATTATTAATTAATTTTTATGTATTATTTTTGAACCATCTACATCAGCATTACACCTAAGAATCATTTTCATGATTTAAACGCATCTTTTTTTTTCTCCTTTTTATTTTTATTTTTTTGGGAAATATTAAAAATATTCATGATCCCAATTAATGGAAATAATTGCTTAATTCAATTAGGAGAGCACGTGACTTGGAGAATAATAACTCGGTAATAGAGGTGACCATGTGCCGGGTCACGGCCCGACCTGGCCCGGCCCGTCGGGTCGGCGGGTCTCAATATTATGGCCCGTAACAGGCCCAAAAAAATATATGGGCCGGTTCATAGAACCGGCCCGGAACCGCCGGTTCACCAGCCCGGCAGGTCTCGGACGGTTCCGGGCCGGTACGGCCCTTAAAAATCCACAAAAAAAACAACGTGACCCGGCGCAACCCGGCCCGGTCCGCCGGGACAAAAAAAAAACCGTGACTCTTAACCGGACCGGATTGGCCGCGGTCCGGTTCTAAAAACCGGCACTATTCATGTCGGTACCGGTACCGGGCCGGGTCAGGTTGGTACCGGGTCACGTGTCGGACCACGGGCTGGGTTGGCCCGTGGCCATGTCTACTCAGTAATAGGATTTTTTTTTTTAAAAAAAAAATCATCAATATGGACAATTAATTATGATATATAATCTCCTTAACATAAGACAACATAATTTGATTTTTGTGTGTAATTTATTTGGTGGAGCCACGCGTGCGTGCAGTTGATTTCCTAATTATTTCAGTCATAATTAACCTTAATCTACCGATTAATCTTATCATAATTTTGCCAGATTAGTCAAATATAATCTCCTAAGTCCTAACTATAATCGTGTGCGTTGCATAAGAGAGATACTTTTTGATAAATATATATGACAGTTCGACTTTGACATGCGTACGTTATCGATTGGGGAGATGTTACAATTTCGTTACGAAACTATTTTGTTGGGATTTGTAATCGTTGGATCATCATGTAACCGTCATGGATAATTGATCTAACGGTTAGAAAACTCAATTGAATGATTTCGTAACAGGACAGTAGCAAACTAAAATAGGATAGTGCTACCATGGGACCACCC